TAGGGTTTAGGGTTGGGGGGTTTAGTAGGGCGATCCTTTGTGCGAGGGTTGTCCCGGCTAGTAATCGCCGCGGCTCTTCTTCTATTCGCCTAACGTGCAGGACCATTATAAAGCCTTATAACCCTTATTGAATCCAATCCACGAGGGAGGCCTAGAAAGCTCCATCCAAAAACCCCTGGAAGCTGTGACCAAACCCTAAAGAAAAGATCAAACTACTTCAAGGCCGTTAGCTAGAATCACGTGCTTCGGGGTTTGGGACCTAAGTCCGGTCCAGATATGGGAGTTTCTGAAAATAAGGGTTACCTTATTTTGGGGTCCTTATAATAAGGATCCTACCATTTAAGGTTCTATATTAGGGTCCCCTGTTTTCGGAAACCCCCATATACAAACAGTCGAAGCAGGATGCGGCGGCTTCGGAACCTCAAAGCCCTTAGGTCTAGGATTTAGGGTTCAGGGTTTAGCCGCTGAAAGATGTTCAAACGTGATCTCCTCATGGCCTTATAGGATTCTATATAATATGAACCCCAAAAAGGAACTACTGTTTAGGGCCTATGGGTAGTCAACGACGGAGGCTGCAAAATGGTAGCCAAGCCACGTTGTACTCGATGCCCGTGCAGCCCGCGGTACTCACGCAGAGCTGCTTGCAGGACTCGATGTCTGGCATACCACTCATGACCTCGTAGTGGCCTGAGCGGTTTAGGGCTTAGGGACTTGGGGTTCAGAGGTTTAGGGGTTTAGGGGTTAAGTTTTAGCAGTCTGAATCTGCGCCGTTTGAGCCGTCGCAAAGCCTCCTCCACCCTGATGAACCCTGCATCCGACACCCTCAACCCCCCGGAGGGAGGCCGTGCTGAGCACCTCAACATCCTTTAGGGTTTTAGGGCCTTAGTGTTTGTTTCGGGCATGGGGTCTTGGGGTACGTTGTACTATGTACAAGTATAGTAGGGACTGTAAGGGTATACTGTGACTAAATGTTACGGAACTTCAGTTGTAATTTGGATTAACCAGAGACGACGAGACGAGGAGCTTGCGGCATTGTCCCCAGGCGAGCTGCCGCGACAGGCGCGGCCAACGCCTGGTCTGCCCGTTGAAGGTGGAAGGGTTGGGGGATCAAGGAGACTGTTGCTATTACTACTGCTACTACTACTACTACTACTACTACTACTACTACGACAACTACTACGACAACTACTACGACAACTACTACTACTACTACTAATACTACTACTACTACTACTACTACTACTACTACTACTACTAATACTACTACTACTACTACTACTACTACGACAACTACGACAACAACAACAACAACAACTACTACTACTACTACTACTACTACTACTACTACTATCAAACAGGATTTAAGGGTTTGGGCATCCGAACCAGCTTTGCATGATCGTTGCCTTTGTGGCCTAGGGTTTTGCGACGTAGAGCTTTGCTCTTGGGAAGTCCTGATTTTGGAGAGTCGCTCTTTTAGGATTTACGGCCGTTGCATGAGTTTTGGCCTGGGCCTTGTTATCAAAACCTCTGGCTTGTGGTTGCAGGCTTTAGGGCTGAAGATGTTAGGTCCAAGAGTCCGATGTCTTCGGGACGTGGCTTCGGTTCTTTCGCCTCGAGTTTCTTGATAGGCGCCAGGTTTCAATTTCAGACACCCCGGAGCCAAAAACCGTCGAAGGCCTTGCCATAGGGCTGAATGTTCATAGGGTTAGCATCTCACATGGCCTCAGGTTCTTTGCCAAACCACATGCAGCATCTTTCTTGGGAACTTGCAGTGAGCAACCCAGAACTTGAGCTCAGAGATTGCTGGGGTCGCTTCAGGGGCACAAGTGTTTGGAGAAGCTGATCGTATTAGCCACCGCCCTGCATTAATTAACACCCTAAGTCCCAAATGGGGGTTTCCGAAAATTCGGGGTACCTTATTTTGGGGTCCTTATATTAAGGATCCCATTATTTAGGGTACTATACTAGGGTCCCCTATTTTCGGAAACTCCCAAATTGCCGAAGAAGAAACCGCGATGTCAGCTCCTGTAAAGACCCTGAGGCGAAGCTAGGGTGAAAGTGGCTGCATGTGTACTACCGACATCCGAAAGCCAAAGGTGACCTCGAATACTGGGACATGCAAGAGAACCAAAGATCCCTAGCGTTGAATCTTGAATCTTTCGGGTCTAGGGTTTCGGTTTATTCTCGTGGCTTTGGGGTTTAGGCTTGGGGTTCCCGAAGAAGCAGACGGACATCATACAACTCTGAAACAACCGTACGGAAACCCTAAACCCTAAACAGCTTTGAATACTCGTCACCCCAAACTCGATCTGCCCCAAGCCGTTAACCCGCGGCTGTGAAACTTAAGTAAGCTGGTGGCGACTAGAGGTTTCAATAATAGGGCTGAAAGACCATGGTGGCGGAAGACCAAATAATAGTGGTTTAGCAACAGCTCAGCCAGACCAAACCCTCAAACTGTCGAAGCATATTCTCGAAGATCCTGAACCTTGAAACCTGAAAACCCGAAAACCTTAAGCCGCGCCCCCCACCCCCCGACCGGCCCGGACCCGCCTCCATCGACCGGCATGAAGGCCTTTACCTCGCCCTGCGTCGTGGTAGTTGAGGTGGTGGTTGTGGTTGCGCTGGTGGTGGTGGTCGTGGTCGTTGTTGTTGTTGTCGTTGTTGTTGTGGTCGTGGTCGTTGTGGCGGCAGTGGTTGTTGTCGCCGTGGTCCTTGGCAGCTCCAGAAGTACAACCTACAACAGTCCTGTAAAACTGCGAGCAGAACATGAAACCACAGAGGTCAAAGCCGAACCCACGCGGAACACACCACACCACCAGCATTGCACCCCTGGTTCGCTTGGA